TAGAAGGTGGCATAGAGTGCACCCTCAGCAAGTTTGCAGATGGCACGGAGCTGGGGGGAGTAGTAGGTATGCTGGAGGGTAGGGCTAGGATTCAGAGTGACCTAGACAAATTAGAGCACTGGACCAAAACAACTCTCATGAGGTTCAGCAAGGACAAGTGCAAAGTCCTGCACTTAGGACAGAACAATCCTATGCACAGGTACAGGCTGACTAGCTGGGCAGCAGCTCTGCAGAGAAGGACCTCGGGGATTACACTGGACAAGCAGCTGAACAGGAGCCAAAAGCGTGCCCTTGATGCCAAGGCGGCTAATAGCATATTGGGCTGCATTGGTAGGTGCGTTGTCACTAGACCAAGGGAAGTGCTTGTGCTCCTCTATTTGACACTGGTAAGGCCACATCTGGAGTACTGTATCTAGTTTTGGGCCCCCCCCTACAGAAAGGATGTGGACAAATTGGAGAGTCCAGTGGAGGGCAATGGAAATGGTTAGGGGGCTGGGGTAGTTTCATAGATTTAGGGTCGGAAGGGACCTAGTAGATCTTCTAGCCCGACCCCCCACCAGGGCGGGAGAACAACAAAACCCCAAAACAAAAAACGGGACTCAAATGAGTCCAGCCAGGTAGGCATCCAGCCTCTTCTTAAAGACCCCCAGGGTAGGGGCCAGCACCACTTCCCTTGGAAGTTGGTTCCAGCTCCTAGCCGCCCTAACTGTGAAGTAGTTTTTGCGGATGTCCAATCTATACCTCCTCTCCATCAACTTGTGCCCATTGCTCCTTGTTATGCCAGCGGGCGCTAGGGGAAACAGCGTCTCCCCCAAACCCTTCTGGTCCCCCCTAGTGGATTTATAGACTGTCACCAGGTCCCCCCTCAGCCTTCTCTTGTGGAGGCTGAATAGGTTCAGGTCCCGACTTCTAAGGAGAGGCTGAGGGAACTGGGCTTATTTAATATGGAGAAGGGAAAAATTGAGAAGGTATTTAAATAGCAACCTTCAACTACCTGAAGGGTCATTCCAAAGAGGGTGAAGCTGGACTGTCTCAGTGGTGACAGATACCAGAACAAGGAGTAATGGTCTCAAATTGCAGCAAGGAAAGTTTAGGTTAGGTATCGGGAGAAACTCTCACCAGAAGTGTAGTAAAACACTGGACCAAGTTACCCAAAGAAGTGGTATCTCCATCCTTGGAGGTTTTTAAGACCTGGCTAGATAAAACCTTAGCTGGGATGATCTAGTTGGGGATGGTGCTTCTTTGAGCAGGAGGTTACACTAGACTACGACCACTCTTCCAATCCTAATTTTCTATAAATTCTATAACTCTATCCTTGTTTAGTTGAAAAGCACTGTTTTTTTTTTTTTTGCTTGTTTCTTAAGTTTAAACTTAAAACATACTTGAAGCCAAACTGAGAGGACTTCATTTATTTCACAGATGGCAAATTGATGTACATGTGAAAGGTACTAAATAGGATCCTATTAAGAAGTAACCATGTGACAAGACCTACAAAGAAATAAAGTGGAATGGTGTGCATATTTGTGTTTGGAATTCCTCACAACTCAAAGACATCAAACCCATGGTTTTAACAGCAAACATTTAACCATATTCTAAGTTAGCATTAACTGACACCTAGTGGCAAAAGCATTACCTCAACAGAATCCATGAAGCGTAATGTTCCAAATGCCGGCTTTCACTGTAGAAAGCTGGAATCCTAAGACTACTTAGGGCCAGGGTACTGGATGAAAAGAACTCCATTAAGCTGCTGAAAGTTCCACAACAGATGAAGCATGGAAGTGTGCAATACTATCTGTGCAGTCTCTCTCCACTGTATCCAAAAAAAAGATTCAGGATTCTGTTAACAGTTACTGCATTTTTTAATTAATTAATTTTCCATACAAGCTTTTCAGGTTATGATTACCCCATACCCAGAGAGTGAAATACCTCATATATAACTAGTTTGAAAATGCATGAGGTTTTCATACATGGTCAACATCTTAAAAGTTTGCTACCCGTTAGCAGTGTGTATATATATGAAAGGTATAAATATTGGTGCAATTATTTTTTCAGTGCAGTTTTCTCTCAACTAGATGCAACTAAACCAAGAGCCCAGTGATTCTGATATTGTTGAAGACTGATGCCTACATATTTTCATATAGCACTGCCAAAACCCATCTCATGGGCAAATGCAAAGCACATGATAATCTAATTCTAAACAGTACATAACTACTTTAGCTCTTCTACCAAAATTGCATTAGTTCTCCTGTTTTTATTTTGATATACGGAGATATATTCAGGGTCCCCAGACTGTAGCTCGCTGGACTTAAAATTAAGGTTTCATGCTTTGTTTTCAGAGTTCTGTCAATTCTCTGCCATTTTGAGTTTTCATTGTTACACAGATTATTGCACTGGTAACGTATAACTGCACGGCACAGGTGGACTCAAAGACTTGACGTTGGGGAGGGGTTGGCAGCTACACAGAGGCCAGTTTATGTTTTTTGGCATGCAGATGGCAGCTGAAATGGGGAGGAAAGATGCACCAGCTTATCCCTTGTTCTTAGAAGCAGGGCTAGAATCAACTCAAAGCTTCTGGGAGCGGTACCCAAAATAGCTCCATGGTTTAAAAAAACCTCTGAACAATGATGCTTCTACTCTAAGGCAGACAAGGTTCTTCGGGTAAATGTGGTAATCTTTTATTAGCCCAACTAAATAGTTGGAAAAAACTGCTCTTTGCAAGCTTTCCGGCACAAACACCGTTCTTCAGGCACAGGGAGAGTCTGCTGGTATTATGTAGGGGTGCCGATACCGATGGCCAATTATTAACGAGCCATATTGGCCGATGCTGACCTGACAGAACCGCGAACAGCTTGTCTAGGGGGCACGCGCAGGAAGAGGGTAGGCTACATACCCTCACCAGTTCAACATTCCCCCCACACCCATCTGCTTCACACCTATTGTCCCCCATTCCCTCTGATCCTCACTGCCACACATTTGTATTTTCACAGCCCTACATTTTACATACTGGCTTCTATTCCACAACTGAGAACACAACACCAACAGACTTTCCCTGTGCCTAAAGAAGGGTGTTTGTGCCCAAAAGCTTGCAAAGATCAACTTTTCCAACTATTTACTTGATCTAATAAAAAGTTACCACACTTACCCAAAGAACCTTGCCTGCCTATGTCCTTAGATCAACATGGCTACACCCAACAACCCTAAAGCTTCTACTCCAATACACTCCATTTTCTCAAATGATTACAGAAAGGTACATTCACTGAAAATATTTCAATGGTTATATTTTGAAACATAAGCAGTAGGGCTCAGGCTCAGCACTCAAACATGCTCAATAAAATCTTTCACACACAACTACAGTGCTTGCAGTGTCAGGAAGGCAACATGACAGCACAGGCGATAAAAGGCCAGAGCTATCAGGGCTTCGCCCCCTGCAAACGTGGGGCAGCAGGTGGGGCCGCAGGAAGCAGGCTCCAGGCTGCTGCGACAGGGCACACAGACAGACACAGCCACAGCCTGCAGCAGCAGGGCAGTGTGCATGTGGAGCACTACCCACCACAGCAGGCAGATCAACGCCCCCACAGTGAGGGAGGGAGTAGGCCAGAGGCAGGGATAAATGTGGCCCTGGAGTGGGTTATGGGATACTTGGAGCCCAGGAATTCATCCAGGCATGTGCAGGAGCTGCTGCTGCTGCGTGCATTCTGGTGGAGGCATGGTGGGCACATGCCCCCCCAGATTTGTGCATGGGGTGGAGGTGGGCTCTGTGCCCTACTGCCGCTGCCCTCAGAGTGACACGGCGCCATGTGCCTGTGCACTGACTGTACTGTGTCCCCTGCCTGCCTGGTAGCAGCAGGCACGTGGTGTCGTACTGCTCCTGAGGCAATGGCAGAGGAGTGCAGAGTCCAGCACGCAGCAGCAGCCTGCCTCCGCCCCATACACAAATCGGAGGCGGGGGGGTGGGGGGAAGCCCTGCAGGGTGCATGCAACAGCAGGAGCCCACCCCCCACGCCCCTGGATGAGTTGCCTGGGCTCCGAGCACCCCATGACCTGCCCCAACGTCCCATTCACTCCTGCCTCTGCCCCACTCCCTCCCTCACTGTGCGGGCATTGATCTGCCCCCCCACGCCCACAACAGACTTACCTGCTGGGGGGGGGGCGGGGGGGAAGGGGCTCATGCATACTTAGCCCCCCCCCAATATTTTCTCCCTCCATCTATGCATGAGAGTGAGAACTGATATGGAGTCCTCAAAATGGCTCATCATGGAAGAAACTCTGCTTCCACTGATGTTGATGGCAGAACCACCATTCATTTAGGTCAACAAAGCAACCAGGTCTATATTGAAGACTTCTGAAAAACCTCTCACCAACTAATTTTAAAACACTCATTCTAAAGCAAATCCCATGACTCCAGAATGGCAGAAATTGTTGTTCTGAACCCAAATTTGCTGAGCCTTTCAGGTATTTCCCGAGAATTTTACCATATATTCCAAATGCATATCTATTTACTGAACCAGATTAAAATTGATCTTTCACAATGTTCTCTCAAAAATTTAGTAAGAACCCTGTAAAGTTGGATTTGGGTCTGAAAGGCATGGATGCATTTTATTTATTCCACACAAACTTTTATAAGTAGGCCAGAGTATAATTTACCTGTTTTTTTAAAAATCAAGCAAATTAAGTTTGCATTATAAAACATAAAATTATACTGCATGGATAGTCATGAAAACCACCAGAAATTTCTTTATTTCTCAATCAGGGAATAAGATTTTGCATTTGTGCATAATGCAGTCATCCCAAACTCATGCCAAGAAGAGAGAAATCTTTACAAATACTCCATATTCTCTTCTACAGAGCTCATCATACAGCCAGCATTTTACATCTCGTAGGGTTTGTGAAGTTTAAAAACGCTAACATTTGTCTCTTACATGATGCGGGGAGCAATTAGAAAGGACTACAGGTGACTGAACTCTTGACATACTAGGACTTACAGCAGATTAGTTGCATAAATTTCCATAACTACTTCTAAATTAATCAAAGAGCACGATCCCGCCGCAGGCGTAAACTCACATAAGTCAACGGGAGTTCTGTCTGTATTCTGACTGCAAGACAGGATCCAGTTTACATAAATCATATGGTACTCTGAACACATGCACTCTTCACTTGAAAATAATGGAGCAAAATACCAGAAGGTTGCCATTTCAGTTGGTTTCCAAGACACACTGAAATACTGAACATTTCACAGTCCATTCTATTAATGCATACTGACTGTCAGGTGAACCAGTTCATCTTTTATTTATGAAAAACATATGAATTGTGATAGATACCATAGGAAAAATTAGTTCAAATATACAGATACTATAGTCCAATCAGCCAGTAAAGGAGTAAGAACCAAAAGTTAGTTAATGATTTCCCCACCCCCCTCAAAAAAACCCTAACAAACTGAACTACTGTAGGCATTTTTCTTCATCCAAAAACAGATGCGTCCAGGTGCAGTAAAATTCAGCTTTATTGGGAAACGCAGACGGCTCTGTAAGTCCCTGTTGATTTATCTTTTGGGTTTTTTTTAAACAAAATTCTCGATTAATCCCTGTCATTTTTCCAGCATTGCTGCATCAAAATTTAGTCATAATATATCCCAAAGTAAAACCAGCCATTCGAAATCTACAGTCATTCATTGCTTTAAGTCAATTCACAGAACTGCTGAAAAAGTAGACATTTCTATCTAAAAGTACAAAAAGGGTTTGTATAGAAGGTACTTCTCTTATACAGTTATATTACACAGCTCAGGACAGGCCCAGCAATCTCTTCTTGGAACTGGATGCTTCTGACTAGATAGGGTAAAAAAAAAAAAATACAAAAGGTGAAGTTAGTTTCATTGCACCTGGGTGTCTCATTGCAAATACATGTATGTGGAAAACTGTACATCTCCAAGTCCTTTAAGGTCCTGTTCAGGAAAGTACCTAGCAGGCAAATACTTCTCTTGATAGTTAGCCATGCATGTGCGCTCAAGTACTTTCTTTTAAAAGGACTTTCACTAGGCAAATCATTTGATGCCACTTTTCTCTTTAATCAATAGATAGTAGCAATTACCAAGGAAGAGGAGATTTTTAAAGACTACCATACCAAACCATGCAGCCATAACTCAGACAAGACTCCACCTGACTCCAGATTTTTGATCAAATATGGGCTGACGAATTTGCAATAATTCCTTTCTTCTACAGAGGATTGTTCTCCTCACACATGTTCTAATGCTGTGGGCTTTATCTAGTTTCATCTCACATTTCCAAGAATGAAACCACCAATTTCCCTGTAAGATTAAATGACAGACCAAACAGCTCTCAGAGCTGGAAAATACTTCTCGATATTCAGCTTCAGCGTACGAACTCTGTGATGGATGCAAGTCAACGGCCTTCTCATTTTAGCTAAAGAGATTAGAGCATGAATGCACCACACAAGCAAATGAAACCAATCTGTGTGTGTGTCAGTCAACAGATGGCATTACAAAGGCATCCAAAGCCCAACCCCAAAAATTCCCAGTTCAGAATATTTCACTGAATTTGAAGTTAGAAAAAAGTAGAGCAGCTCTATTAAATGCGTCACAATTACATTTTCTTCTTAGCTTGTAGGAGGGCAAACCTTCCACAGTAGGTTAGAGCTCTGCAAATTCCATTTGGTAACAATACACCGTGACTACTGCAGTCCTCACCACTATCAAAATCCTTAGAAAAATGAGGGACAGAAAAAAGCTAGATCAAATGAAATCAGATTCATTAGGAATCATGGCCCCCGAATTTCAACTGAATGTTTTCCTGAGGTTAATAAGACACACAACTTTTAAAAGGAGCAGCACTCACATTTTTTATTATAGCTAAATATTTTGCCAAGCGTCTCCAACTTAAGCAATATTAAAATTAAGGTGAAAAGGACGCTCAGTTACAACATGGAATGTACATAGGTTTTTACCAATGTTCTTTGCCACCAAGCACATCAAAACTCCTGATATACATGAAGTCATTACCTCTTATATAACAATCACCATCACTGATTTTTGTTTACTGGCGATACTATGACGCTCATCACAATAGTATCCGAAGGCCTCAGAAGTTTTAATTAAGCCTCACAGCACAAGGGATAAATAGTTAGGTATTATCTCCGTATTACAGATGAGGAATCGGTGACGCTATCTAATACTAATTCACACAGTCATAGGCAAAGGCAATGACAGAACTCCCATCTCCTGGACTCCCATCTTGTGCCATAGTGATAAGACCTGTGACCCGCTAAAAAGCAGCATAGAAATACTACCTCTAACAACTGTTTATTTTGACAAATACTAAGTAATTTTACCCTAGTATTGGTGGAGGTCTACCACGTTGGGTCCGGCTCTTGTTTTATTTGAGAATTTTCTTCTGCTTCTGTAACCTCTGTTGAAAATAAAATAGTAAAATGAAGAATCTTTTCTATCAAAGTTTCATTAACTCAAAGACACTGTGGTAAAAAGTAAAAAAAAAAAAAAAGGACAGGGCCACTATTAAGAAACATCTCTCTTAAAAAGTACCGTTCATGAAACAAGTGATACATCTCCATAGTGATGGCAATCATTCATTCATTTGAACTATGGGAACAGCTACTCTGAATATAAATCATTCAGTGTATGAGCCATCACTCAAATACAACTGCTGCAAGATACAATTTACTGCTTAACAATAATTATTTTACAGCAAAGTGTTACAACACATCAGACTAACAATTTTTTTTCAGGGTAATTTGCTGCACGGTACTAAGGCAAACTCAAACCTTTCATGTAGAACTGAAAAAGGAAGACAAAATAGAATCACTTGTATTTTGATTAAACACAGCTTTGCTTCTTGTATTAAAAATGACATGAAGGGCATGCACTCTCAAGACAGAAGCCAATTACTTACCTCCTACCGATACTTCTATCTGGCTTGGTTCAGCTGGCTCTTAAGTTAAAAAAAAAAAAACAAAAAAAAAAACATATATATACATATATGGATGTAATAAATAATGTACCAGGACTTGGTGAAACTTGTAAAACACTCTTCCCTGCAAACTGGCAAACACAACCACAATCAGCTGAACAGCTAATAATTAAAATGCTGCAGGGGGTGCAGGGATTTTAAAGTAGATCTGTTATAATACATCAGAACAAGGGCAATAGAATTGTTTGTGCTTTTATCCAGCTCCTACACTCCATGTTTCTATTTTCTGTAACACAGCAACTTTTTGCATAGCTAGAAGAAACGTTCACATATCTTAAACTTCCCAAATAATTTATCACAGTTAATTTAAAACAGGCTAGCGAATGACTGACTAGAAGCAGGCAAGCAGCATTCCTTTTAATGTGCTAGGATATCCAGACTTCACATTTTTTCCCCTAGATGACTTAAAAAATGTCTGTGGAGTTTAGGGATCCCGTCACATAAAAAGAAACGTTGCATTACAGCAGATCTGCTCCTTGAAACAGACTGGCTAATTAGTTTGGCTAAACCAGCATCTGACACATTCCTTTTGCATTAAAAATATGTGAAAAGATAAAAGAACTAGGTCTAAATTTATGAATTTTGTTAATCTGTCTTTACTGCTTACTAGCGAACGAACCTCAACAATCAAATCGGTGAACACACAGAATATCAAATATCAGAAAGGAGCTGTGTTTCCTTCAATTAAAGGGTATTATCTATCAGAATTATGACAGCTCAGTCTTTCCAAATAAACGCTGAATCAGCAGCAGCTTTTGTGCTCCTAGGACAAGGCCTTTTACCAGTCTCATTTGACAATAAGACCTATAATTTCACATGCTCTTCTCATTCTTTCGGAAGCCACCTGGTTACACCTTTGTATTCACCTGGTAGTGCTGGTGGTGCTGGGGCCGGTGCCGGCGCTTCTGACTCGGGTTTCTCCATCAGCTCTGAGAATAAATACAGGCAATGCTTAGCTTTAGAAGGAAAAATCCAATGGCAATTTTATTCAATTGTATATGTTCAATCTGTTGCATAAACAACATACATCTATGTATGTAACTACTCAGGAGTTCCTCTGATTTGTTTTCTCAATGCTCTTCCAATTTCACTATAAACCCTTCTGCACTCTTTACAATACTAAACAACACTGATTTCAAAGAACAGTACAAAAATAAGCGTCAAGTTCAGGAACATTATTGAAACGCTAGAGAATTACCCGTCATGAATGACGGATGAATTTCAAATTGCGATTCATTTGCCCAGCTGTCTTGATGTTGTCTGGCATCTAATTGTCTTCTCACAGCAGCCTTCTCTTGCAATTCATTTGTACGGCGCTCTTGATGGCATTGTGCATCTAACTGTCTTCTCGCAGCGGCATTTTCTTGGGACTCATTTGCACGGCGTTTTTTATGGCGTTGTGCATCTAACCATCTTCTCACAGCAGCCTCCTCTTGTGTCTCATTTGCACGCCTCTCTTGATGTCGCCTCAAGTCCAATAGCCTTCTTCGTGTAGCTTGGTCCTCAGATTCATTGTTTCGTGCATAACTTTTTCTACTTGCATCTAATTGTCTTCTTTCAGCAGATTGCTGTACAGTCTGTCTCATTCTCCAACGTTGTTGACGTTCTTTATTTTGACGACGTTTTCTCTCTGCAAGAGTTTTGCGTTCCATAGTAAAACACTTGACGGTTTTGTGACAATAATGGAAAAGAACGACTTTCTTGATGGTGTTGTGCATCTAATTGTCTTCTCACAGTAGCCGGGAGCCCGGCTCCCACTTTTCCTCAGCTGGCCCCTCTCTCTGCCCTCCCCGCTGTGCCGGGCTCCCGGTGCCCTCCCGGGAGGAGCTCAGTAGAAACAGCCTTGGCCCCCGACTTTTTTCCCATCCTGACATGGTCACTAAAAAAATGCTAAGGTTTAGCAAAGAAACCTCTGAAGACACATGTTCTCTCAGCTTTCAAGCTATTTGCATTTAACAAGCGTTACGGACAGACAGACACACAGATGAACTAAGCCCTTTATATATAGAGATTGTGCAATTCTCTCAGTATTTATATACATCAGGTGACTTTGGCCAGTATGGAGCTGGAACAGCAAAAAAAAAAAAAGACGACTAGGTCCAGTGATCAGTCCTCTCCAAGTGATGGAAGAGATAAGCAGCGATCCACGTTTTCTGTTTTCCACGGAAAAAGTGGAGAAAACCACAGATTTTACCTTTTAGTGGAGGCGAATGTGGGTTTCTCATTTGACTGAAGAAACCCACAGGGAGGAAGAGAATTAGCCTGGGGCTGTGGCTGCTGCCCAGCTGGGCAGTGCCTGAGGCCCCCATAGGGAGGGAGGAAGGGAGTTGGCCAGGGCAATGCGGAGCTTGCAGCGGCAAGCGCAATTTTGCTGCACAGCTCTGCTGTGCCAGGTTACATATGCCAGGATGCAGAGGTCCCAGGGGAGGGCAAAACGGTGGGAGCCTGAGCCTGCAGCAGGCAGCCCCCTCCCTGTGCACAGATCTGAGGGGCATGGGTCCCCCGGCCCACCCAGGAGTGCATGCCTCGGCAGACAGCCGGCCCCACCTCTGCCCGAGTCTGCAGCAGGCAGATAGCATGAGTGGGGGAACCGGGCTCCACTCCACTGCAGCAGCTGCCACCTCCTGCCAGGGGCAGAGGGCTGTGGACCCAGGTGCCTGGCCCCATAGCCCTGGCAGCCCCCCTCAGGGACACCTGGGGGGCCTTTCATTTTAATCATGCATTTTAGGGATGTTATATGAAAATTTGTGATTTCTTATCAGGAAAATCCAGTATCCCTGGAGATGAGACATCTCTATTGTTACGGCTCAGTCTACCAGCTGCCAACAGTTTTACTGCCAATCATGTGTGATGCTACCCGTCTGCAGCAGTGGACAGTGAAGCTCTTAAATGGCTCCTCTGCTATCCTAATACAGCTGTCTGGAAACGGTCACAAATGTCTCCATGGTGGGATCTCTCTCAGAAGGCGACAGAGGGCTAACTTCTCAAGCCAAAGGGAATATACAGGACTGACAAGCAAGTCAGCAGCATTGACTAGACTGGTTATATGAGAACACCACCACTTCCAGCTGATGTATCAAGCATCTTATATGGTGCACACTAGCAGGGAAGAACAGACAAGAGCCACCTGACTAAGGCACAATCTAGGTAAGATGGAAGTCATAACAATAGGTTTCACCAAGTCTCTTATATACCAATGGCTCAGAAAGCACAACACCAAATGCAGTGGGTTTTTTTCCATTGCAGTCCTGCGGTATAGTTACAGAAAAGATGCTGCGTGCCAGCTGTTGTCATGGTGCAAACAAACGTGAAAAACAAGCAGCTACAATAGAGGTCTGCAACAAAGTTCATAAAAAAATGCAGAATCACTACCTAACACAGTAGTTCTCAACCTTTTTGGACTCAGTGTACTTCACTGGATGCAAGGAATAGCTTTGGTGGCACCCAATTTCAAAAACTGATTTATATATTACAGTGCTTGCCTCCTCACACAGGAGGACAGGATAGCAGTGGGGGCAGGACAGCAGCCAGGCAGAGACGAGCCTGAGTCTCTGCTAAGCTGCTTGTCTCCTCACCTTGGAAGCACCCTTCAAATGGATCTGGCAAATGGTTAGGAACTGCTGATCTAGCATTTTAACACCACCCCCTATGGGTCTGTAAATTAATTCCAGGGTCCTCCTTTATCTGTTAATATGCTGGACCCCCTGCTACCAGGACATAATGCTGCAGTCATTCTAATGCAAATACTACTGAAGTTGAGTTCAAGGTGATAAAAAAAAACACACACAGTAAGCCCCGTGTCTAAGGAAATACTTACGGTTGTTAATCACAAGTCCTGGAAACGGCCTGTAAGAAAGAATACAATGTTTAATGTCGCTGAGCTGATTTTTGCTGTACCATTTTCTGACCAACGTTTTCATACAGGGGGCTCTAAATAAAAGGAGGGACCTGCAATGTTTCATCACTGTTCTTCCTAAAAACAGAAAGATTCATCCAGTAATCTATCACTTGCATATCTACCAGAAGGTTCAAATCCTTCCTTCGATCAGGCCCAACAGAGTATAAAAGGAGACTCCCCAAGTGACCAGGGAGTAAGCAAAGAGGGGTGGCAAACAGGGCAAGCAGTTTGCGGGCAGTTCACAGGTCAGTTTGCTGCCCCCTGCCTTGAGGGGAGAGCCTTTCAAGTTCGGTGCGAGGAAGCAGGGAAAAAGAATCCCTTTGGGGCCAAGGAGCAGTAAACAGGCCAGCTTCTAGGCGAGTTCACTAGGGAAGGTGTGCTTGGACAAAGAGCAGTAAGAGAGAAAAGGCAGATTAAAAGACCCAGAGAAATGGCTGGAGGACACTGCAATGCCAGAGCCACTGCTACTGCCTCTGATTGCACCTGTGAGGTGTCTGTCCAAGCAGGACTGCTCACCATTGAGGCTTCCACCCAGGTCCAGGTTTGGCGCTGTGGGGACTGCGGCTTGCAGGTTCCCTCTCGTGGTGGCCAGGTTGGGGGGTGCCTGTGGTGCCTCTCAGGGAACAGGCAAGGAGCTACAGAAGGAAGTAGTGAGACGCTGAAGCATCCTCCACCAGGAGGAGTTCATTGATTCAATGCTGGAAAAGACCTCTGGGACACTGGAAGAACTGCCAGAAAGAGCACTAGAGGAGGGAGAGGACATGGACTCATTCCCAGGAAAGTGGATGCTTGTGACCTCTGGCAGCAAACAGAAATCTTCATTTCCACCTGCAGCAGTTTGTCTGGAGAATAGATACAGAGAGCCCTAGCAACAGAGGGTGAGGACGACATTCCACTTGTGGAGGAGAACAGGCCAAGCCCCAACAAAGTGGGAAGGATTGAGACAACCACCACCAAGAAGCAACTGGTGGTAGTGGTTGGAGACTCCCTTCTGTGGAGGATGGAGAGAGCCATCCGCTGACCTGACCTGTTGTCTAAGGAAGTCTGCTGCCTGCCCAGAGCCCAGATCCAAGGTGTTGCGGAGGGATTGCTAAGATTCCTCTGGCCCTCTGACTACTACCCCATGCTGCTCATCCATGTGGGCACCAACGACACTGCCAGGGGAGACTCTGAGCAGGTCAGAAGTGAACACAGGGCTCTGGGTGCAAGGGTGAAAGGGATGGGCTCAGGTTGTGTTCTCTTCTATGCTTCTGGTCATGGGGAATGGCCCAGGCAGGAGCAGATGCATCCTGCAGATCAATGCCTGGCAGTGCAGGTGGTGCTGCCAGCAGGGCTTTGGCTTCTTTGACCACAGGATGATGTTCCAAGAAAGATTCCTGAGAAGAGATGGGATCCACCTGACGAACAGAGAGAAGAGCATCTCCACAGACAGGCTTGCTAAACTAGTAAGGAGGGCTTTAAAACTAGGTTCAACAAGGGATGGAGACCAAAATCCTGAGCTAAGTAGGGAAGCAGGAGATGTAGAAGAAGAGAAAAACAGGAGGGGGCAAGAGGGGAAATATTCTCATTCTTCCCGAGAAATCAGGGGAATTGACTAGTTACCTTGGATGTCTGTGCACAGAGCCTGCGAAACGAGCAGGAAGAATTGGAAGTCCTCACACACTCAGAACTAGGACGTGATCAGAATAACAGAGACTTAGTGGGAGCTTGCACGACTGCAGCACTGTCATGGATGGGCAGAAACTGTTCAGGAAGGACAGGCAGGGGAGAAGAGGAGGAGGAGTTGCACTTTAGGTAAGTGCCATATGATTGCTCAGAGCTCCAGTATGGCCTGGAGATAGGTCTGTCAAAAGTCTCTGGGTCAAAATCCATAGGAGAGAGCAACAAGGGTGATGTTGTAGTGGGGGTCTGCTATAGACCACCAGATCAGGAGGAAGTGGTGGATGAGGCTTTCTTCAAACAGCCAGCACAAGTTTCCCAATCAAAGGCCCTGGTTCTCATAGGGGACTTCAATCACCCTGACATCTGCTGGTAAGGCAGTGCAACCGTGCACAGGCAATCCAGAAAATTTCTGGAGAGTGCTGGGGACAACTTCCTGGTGCAAGCGCTGGAGTAGCCAACTAGGGATTGTGTTTTTCTTGACCTGTTGCTCACAAACAAGGAAGAATTGGTGGGGAATGTACCACTAGGTGGCAAGTTGGGCAGCAGTGACCATGAGATGATTGAGTTCAGGATCCTGACAAAAAGGAAGAAAGGAAAGCAAAGCATGCACCCTGGACTTCAGAAAAGCAGACTTTGACACCCTCAGGGAACTGATGGGCAGGATTCCCTGGAAAGCCAGTCTGAGGGGGAAAGGAATCCAGGAGACCTGGTTGTATTTTTAAAGAAACCTTACTGAGGGTGCAGGAACAAAGCATCCTGATGTGCAGGAAGACTAGCAGACACAGCAAGCAACCAGCTTGGCTTAGCAGAGAACTCTTTGGTGAGCTTAAACACAAAAAGGAAGTTTACAAAAGTGGAAGCCTGGACAAACGCCTAAAGAGGAGTACAAAAGTATTGCTCAGGCATACAGGGATGAAGTCAGGAAGACCAAAGCACAACTGGAATTGCAGCTAGCAAAGGACACGAAGGGTAACAAGAAGGGTTTCCACAAGTATATTACCAAACAGGAGGAAGGTCAGGGAAAGCATGGGTCCCTTACTGAAGGGTGGAAGCAACCTAGTGACAGATGAGCAGGAAAAGGCTGAAGTAGTACTCAGTGCCTTTTTCACTTCAGACTTCACAGGCAGGGTCAGCTCCCAAACTACTACACTGGGCAAGCAGTTTGGGAAGGAGGTGAGCAGCCCTCAGTGGTGAAAGAACAGATTAGGAACTATTCAGAAAAGCTAGACACGTACAAGCCCATACAGCCGGATGCAGTGCATCTGAGGATGCTGAGGGAGTTGGCTGATGTGATGGCAGAGCCCCTAGACATTATCTTTGAAAACTCATGGCAATTAGGGGAGGTCTTGGATGACTGGAAACAGACAAATATATAGGGCCTATTTTTATTTTTATTTTTTAAAGAAGGGAAGGAGGAAGATCCGGGGGACTACAGACCAGTCAACCTCACCTCAGTCCCTGGAAAAAGTCATGGAATAGGTCCTCAAAGAATCCATTTCTAAGCACTTGGATGAAAAGGTGATTAGGAGCAGTCAGCATGGATTCACCAAGGGAAGTCAGGCCTGACCAACTTGATTGCCTTCTATTACGACAGGGATGGGCAAAACGTGGCCCGCCAGGCCACTCTATCTGGCCTGCAGGGCCCCTAAAAAATTTAGAAAATGAATATTCTTCTGCCCTGGGCTGCCTGGCATGCAGCCCTCAATAGCTTGCCAAAACTCAGTAAGCAGCCCTCCGCCCAAAATAATTGCCCGCCCCTGTATTAGGAGTTGACTGTCTCTCAGGGAAAGCAGTGGATGTGGGATACCTTGATTTTAGCAAGGCTCCCCCGATACACTCTCCCACAGCATTCTTTCAAGCAACCTGAGGAAGTATGGATTTGAGGAATGGATTGTAAGGTAGACGGAAAGCTGACTGGATTATCAGGCTCAATGGGTGGCAATCAATGGCTCAGTATCTAGTTGGCATCTGGTATTGAGTGGAGTGCCCCAGGGGTTGGTCCTGGAGCTGGTTTTGATCAGTATCTTCATTAACTATCTGGAAGATGGGATGGATTGCACCCTCAGCAAATTCAAGGATGACACCAAGCTGGGGGGTGTAGTAGATATGCTGGAGGGTAGGGCTAGGATTTAGAGTGACCTAGGCAAACTGGAGGATTGAGCCAAAAGAAATCTCATGAGGTTCAATAAGGACAAGTGCAAAGTCCTGCATTTAAGATAGAAGAATCCCATGCACCGCTGCAGCCTGAAGATTGACTGGATAAGCAGCAGCTCTGCAGAAAAGGTCCTGTGGGTTACAGTGGATAAGATGGATGCGAGTCAACAACGTACCCTGGTTGCCAAGCAAGCCAAGAGCATACTGGGCTGCATTAGTAGAAGTGTTGCCAGCAGATCAAGGGAAGTAATTATTCAACCCTATTCTGCACTGGTGAGGCCACATCTGGAGTACAGTGTCCAGTTTTGGGGCACCCACTATAGAAAGGATGTGGATAAGTTGGAGAGAGTCCAGCAGAGGACAAGGAAAATGGTTCAGCAGCTGAGGCATGACTTCTGAGGAGGGGCGGAGGGAACTGGCTTTATGTAGTCTGCAGAAGAGAAGACAGAGGGGATTTGATAGCTGCCTTCAACTACCTGAATTGTGGTTCCAAAGAGGATGGAGCTAAATTGTTTTCAGTGGTGACACGACAGAACAAGGAGCAATGGTCTTAAGTTGCAGCGAGGGAGATTTTGCTTGCATATTAGAAAAAAATTTCACTGGGGGGTGGTTAAGCACTGGAAGAAGTTACCTAGAGAGAGGTGATGGAATCTACATCCTTGGACGTTTTTAAGGCCTGGCTTGACAAAGCCTTCGCTGGAATGATACAGTTGGGGCTGGTCCTGCTTTGAGCAGGGGGTTGGACTAGATGACCTCCAAACCTCATTTTCTATGATTCCATAAGCTGTTGTATAAAGAGGTAAATTCTTGTACTAGCAACCCTGCCTGCAATGCCCCTAAATAGTTTATGAATATACTATATACATTTCTCTCTCTCTCTCTCTCTAGGTACCATACCCAAACAGGACGTTGGTAACTATGCTATATAATATGAGGTTGCACTTGGAGTGCTACAACTGATAAAAATCAGTTCATATAACTCCACTCATTGCAGTGACTTATGTGCTTCCTCCCAAGAACTCAGAGTTACACATGCGTGCATGAATCTCATTTTACCTAAACCATTTGTTATCCAAGATCAACATATCCCATTATTTACAGTTTATTTAGAAAATTCCCTCTCAGCTGTCTGAAACCATAACTTATTCACATATTGCCCAACTCTAACATTTGGATAATCAAGATTACACCATATAACCACGACAGTAAACTGATTGTCACATACCGAATGACAGTAAATTTGATAAACTCTGCCGATTCCAAAATCTTCCTCATCGAGCTGATTTCCAAATAACTGGGGGCCTTAAATGCCACTCCAGGAGGCATGCCATCCACCACCACACAGCCAGGGTTGATGGTGATTTTTCTGTATGGAACTTTCACGGGGAAATTCATACCGATTGCTTCACCTAAGTAAGAGAATTGACGCAAGTCTACAAATCTGAGCTTACAAATACTCATTGGATAAGAACATAAAATGCAGACATGCATTTTATATCATCTAAGGCTACTGAAATGCATCTGCTATTTAAGCCATTACACTTAGAGGGTTTTCAAAAGAACTGTATTCTAGACAGTTCTCATGAATGCTATTATCTCAGAGGCTTCCCAGACTACTGCACCAGGCAAGCATTTGTCTCTGCTTTTGATCCTGTTAACAGATCAGGAGTGTCTAGTTTTAAGAAGAGTCAGGATTTGCAACAAAAAGAAATATTTTGTGTGCAAAGAGACATAAAGACGACAGTATCTAGAGCAAGGCTGCTCAACTGAGGGCCCACAGGCAGCATGCAGTTCCACAAGAGACTAGCAAGCAGTCTCTGCAGCCGTCTCTCCAACAACCATGCAGAGGGGGGTGAGAGGCCATGCCCAATGGTAAGGGGGAGGGGGCCCCACCCCTACAGCATGTGGCTAGCAGTATGTGGTCCCTGGGGAAGTTGGGCAGCACTGATCTAGAGCACAGAAACTTCTCCACTTAAGAAAAATACAAAACCGTTAAGCCTTCAGAACAGATCCATTTGGAAGCTGGCATACGCAGAATACACAGAGCAGAAAGTAACCTGCTGATTACAAATATAGTGCCAAAATGGCCACTGTAATGGGTATTATATGCTTACCTATTAACTTTTATTTACTAAAACCAAAATGCACATCATCAGTTACTTTCAAAGCTATATCAAAATTCTAATATAATAAAGAACTGTGTCTGTCTGTCTGTGTCCGTCTGTCCGTAACGCTTTTGATCAAATGCGCGTGCACTGCCGAGACCAGGTTACCATATGTCTGGGTTTCCCCAAATGAGTCCCCACTCTTTTTAAGCCCTCTGAGCTCCATCCGGGTGGGCTGTCCAGGATTTCTCTTTGCTCCACTGGTGGGAGCAGCAGCAGCAGGGTGATCGGAGGCAGCAGGGACACAGACCTGCCTGCAACATGCTGAGACGCACAGACCCGTGTGGTGCACCCTGCTGCCTGCAATTGCCTCCCCCTGCTCCCATCCTTGGAGCAAAGGAGAAATGCAGACATTTGGTCAGGGCAGGGGGAGCGGGGGCTGCAGCTGTGACAGGGCAGGGGGGAGGTGAGGGTTGCCTGTTCTCCAGTGGGGGGAAAGGGGCAGGGGGTTGTTCCGAGGGCAGTGGGGAACGCCATGGCTGGGCGGCAGCACAGGGGCCGGTGCCTGTGATCTGGGGGCTGAGCAGCCATGAGATGCTGTGGGGGGGAAGAAGGGGGCCATGGCCAGGCTGCCTGGTGCAGTGGCAGCCTCATCCCAAGGCAGGGAGTGCCACAAGCCTCTTCTCTTCCCTCAGCCTGCGCTGGGGCCGGACATGCTCCGCTGCATACATGAATGGGAGCCACCACGCTCTGGCCTGGTAAGGATGGGGACAGCAGTCAGGGCCATTGGGGTGGGGGACTGTGGGCTGGGAATGCAGAGGGCACTGGCAGTGCGAGGGGACTACGGGTCAGGAGTGAGGGGCACCATCAGGACCCAGAGGGGCAGGGTACTGCAGTCTGGCGAGTGAAGGGCACCACCAGGATGGGGGGAGGGGGGGACTGTGGGTCACTGGCAGTGCCAGGGGACTACGGGTCAGGAGTGAGGGGCACCATCAGGGCCCGGGGGCAGGGTAATGCAGTTTGGTGAGTGAGGGGCACTGGCAGGGCTGGGGGGGCTGTGGCTTGGGAGAGAGGGGCACTGGGGTAGGGGCAGGGGACTGTGGGTTGGAAGTGTGGGGGGCACCAGCAGTGCCAGGGAACTATGGGTCAGAAGTGAGGGGCACCATCAGGGCCCAGGGGCGCACGGTGCTGCAGTCTGGTGAGTGAGGGGCACTGAAAGGGCTGGGGTTAGTGGGTTGGGAGTGAGGGGCAGCAGCTTGGTGGTGAGGGGTAACAGAGTGGGCATGGGCAGGGTCACCCTTCAGGGCCGGCCATGTAAACAGTCCTTTGAAATCAGTCATTCATGACAAGCAATTGGCTAGTCACAGATAAAAGCAATTACCAAACTTCCGGCTGAACAGGTCATTTACTTGCTCTCTCAGCTGTCGGGCCTTTTCTACCTTTGATAATCTTTCACTTTCATCATCTGAAAGAATTTAGAGTTGTGTCAGGATAAAGCAGGACTTCCTTTGGAAAGCCATTTGATATTGCATAAGATTTTACTTGAAACAAGTAATAATACCGCATTTAATCAAATATGAGATGAGGTTCCCCTCCCCCCGGCAAAAATATGATGGAGAAAAAGAGCCTTGCCTTTAATTTGGGGCGTAATGCCAAACCCAGGACAGGTGGTGGCTTAGCAGCGGCTTCTCCCCTAGGATCGGAGCCAAAGCTAGAGCTGATCCACCACCTGCCTCGAGCCAGTGGCTTTT